AACAAGAGGGGCGGCAGAGGCGGGAACATATTAAATAATATTGTTCAAAAAGACAAACAGCCGATTGCCGTATTTAAAAATAAAAAATCACACAGAAAGATAAACAAGCTGAATGGATTGACAAGCGCGTAGAAGAGTGGAACATGCTATACCCTATAGCTGTTACATATGGGGAAGCTTGCCTATGAAGTTGAACTTTTTGACAATAATGTTCGAAATGTTTCATGCACAGTTTTCAGTTTCTTTTTCTTTCGTTCTGAGTTTCATTGCCAAATGTTTCATATTTCATTTTCAAAAATTTCTATCTGAACCAGGCTCACGAACTGAGCACTAAGACAGGGAGTTGGAACCGGGAACCGAACTGAACAAGAAAATATAGACTTGATGGGGTCGAAGATGCTTCCCACTGCCTGGTTTACACATTTGCACAAAAGCATTTTACTTTTTTACCCCATTTCCAAATGGTTCAGGGCATAAATATTGTATTGCTTGCTCAAATCTAACCATATTACAGGACATTTGATAAACGTCAACAAAATCAAAGCACAAAATGCAAAACGTGACTTTAACAGCAAACGTCGACTGAGCCATCAACTGTCTTAACTGAATAGCTGATTGACCAGCGAACCGACTGACTGACTGACTGACTGACTGACTGACTGACATTTGGTAAATTTGTAAATTCGTTTATCCCGGCGCGCGACAAGTGTCAACAAGACAAAGTTCTTTAAATATCAATAGACGCCAGGCCGGAACGACTGGGGGGTTGTTGGTGGGAGGTGAAAATACACGAGGTGAAATCTGAAGGTTATTATTGAATCAATGGGCGCATTCACATATACATATATATATATATATATATATTTATGACTCTTTGGCTGAGCTTTACTTGGCCCATTTGCATATTTGGTTAATTGAAATTGATTTTTGTGTCGAAAACAAAAGTCGAAGCGCTGCATGCAAACGAATGTTGGTCACACTGAGCAGCGGAACAGCGGAATGAAACAGAGCGAGAGCTGGCCGTGACAGCTGGTGGATTCAAACGGGCCAAAACGAAGAAAGTACAGTCACCTTGCGGTTGCACTTAAAAAAAAAATCAATTTCAATTTGAACTAACGAAAATTATTATGCAACTCGTGGACCGGCGGTACAGCGCGGGTAGCAGGGCGCAGGGGCGCGGGGCATAGCTCTGAAATTCGCGACTTGGCTGGAAACGGACTGAAAGAGACTGTAGACTGCCAGAATAACTTGCAAGTTAACCACAAAAGCCGACCGAGTTGTTCTTGCTACACTTCTTGTTCAGCTAGCAGAGGCACAGGGTTGGTTCAAGGGGGATGCGGGACGCGGGAATTGGGGGGCTAGGACAACCGCAGTAACCGCTCGCCAGGCGCACTCAGCGAACTGCGGCCTGACCTGCTTATACTAGAGAGCTAAGCGCAGTGGGTTGAAATCTAGAGTGCTCGCTAGGGGGAATGGAAGGGGTTAGGGGGACGGTTGGACGTTGCATGGGACAATGTGGCAAACAGTTTGTGTTTGACTATTTTGTGTGTTGCGTGCAACATGCACACACAGTGGGTGGCTAGTTGGTTGCTTGGGTGGTTGCTTGTGACGTCAATGAACACACGCACCACCAAGTTGACAACAATGCAACAGACAGACAGACACACAGAAACAGAGCGAGGGAGCACTGTGTGTGTGTGTGTGCGGTGCGGGGCGGTGCGGAAGCACAAACTGCAGTCCAACTTTAGTGCAATGCAATGACAAATGATTAATCACAAGAAGAAGAAAAAACGGCACAAAAAACAAATGCGAAAAAAAAAGTGGAAACAAAACGCGACCGGTGGGAAAATTGCAGAGCATGACAAATGTTTTGACCCAAACTCGGCTAACAGCACGCCCGAGGAACCTAAATATACATGAAAAATGCAAAAATAAACGAAATTAATTCGCAATATGCCAAAAATATATTAAAAGTATATAAATAAATTACTTGAAATATACAAAGTATAAAAACGAAGAGTTTGACTTCGATTTTTCTCGCGACGCTTTTCCTTTTCCTTCGACGCTTCGATGCGTTGCAATTCTCAACTACTTTAAGCTTCCAGTTGTTTGAGTTGATAGCAAAGTCTGCTTTGGATAGAACCAGAAGGTTCTTGAAATTGCTTTCAAGACACGACCTGCTCACACTTTGTCGAATTTTCGTTAGAAGCATATTTAAGTTATAATGCAAAAAATAAAAATATATTGACAATTAAATAACTTAAATAGCGTGGCACAAGCTCTCACAGTCCGAAAATAGAAAAATCTCGGACAAAAGATTTTCATAAAATTTACAAAATACTAACTTGAAATTCGTAAATTAGCAAAACCTTTTAGTTATCCCGTCGTTTCATTCACTTTAAAAACGTTTTCTCGCGTAACTATCATTGTTTTTAGCTAACTGTGAGCAGGAGCAAAGCTGTACAAACGGGCAAATATAAAATATCGCCATCGTGCTATTAAAAACTTTTGTAATATCTCTGAGCTTTTAATATTAATGTTTTATTTAACAACGCTCGCTCAGTGGTTGATGCAAAAACAAACAAGAAAGCGGCACGCCGCAAATTTAATATCTTTGCCTTGCGGTTTTGCAGATATGTGAAAATAGTGAAGCTAATAAATGCCGAGTTTGATGAAAATATCTTGAAAAACTGAATATCCTTTTTTGACCGATTCTTCCCATAGAGCTGTATAATATAGTAGTGCGATCTTGATAAGATTTCGATTCTTTATAAACAGCATATCTTGATAAACAAAAGACTTTTCCATATAAGAACATACTTTTTGAGCGACTACCTTGGCAGCTCGCTTTGCCTCGCTTGTAAACGGTTATACGCGGCTTTAGAGATCTGGTGCCAATCTGGAAGCAATCGAAAGAGAGTCAAATCTCTTCAAATCACGATTCTGCGTAGGACCTATATACTACGTGCGCAACAGCGTTCTTCACAGAGACCTGAAGATCCTCTGGGTCGAAGAACGAGTTCTAACCCAATTCTAACAAATTACAATCAACCTATGACAATGGAAAGTTGAATCAATAATCTGTAAGCGTATAAGGAAACTGTTCGTAATTAATTAAGTTCAGCTGATGCATATTGGCTTAGATACGTTTGTATCTATGAGTATAAACAAAAGACGATATGAACAGCACACAGTACCATTATCGCCATTCGCTGACATCTGGGAGGGGCTTTGCTCGACTAATGCGCCTTAATACACCCATTGATCAATGCGTTGTCGTGGCGCCTTACTATTTTTGAATACGACCCATGGAACCCCCCGTATTACGGGGCCCCGCTGACAGTGAGAGATGAGACGCGAGTTGAGCGCGGATAATGAATAATGAGAACATAAATAAATATTCATATACACACGTCGAAAAACAAAACAACATTTTAATTCAGTTTTCACAAAACAGGCCACGTTTTCAAGAGTTCCACAATTATGTTCCATGAAGAACCGCTCAATCACTCAGATTTTGAGGCCAAATTTAATACATTTTATCAGGCAAAAATAAATCAAAATAAATTGTAAAATTTAAATGAATAGTTAAAATTTTTATCGAAATCATTATTTTTAATATTATTTTTATTATTATGCTAAGTATTATAAACGTAAATCAGAGGTAAGTATTTGTATTTAATATTTTAATATCAATATTTATTTGGGCTATTAAAAAGTCTTCCAAAGGATCTAAGCTTCATTCCATATAAGTGCTAATGAGAAAAATATTGATCGTTTTTAAACAGCAATATATCTTCCATGACGTATCGGCAGACAAACGGGTCGAGCCAAAGAAGAATTATATATGATTTTTATTATAATTACATTCTATATGTCTAAAAAATCATGAACAACATCGAAGCTTCATTGCCATATAAAGGCTAAAGAGAATCCGTCCACATAGAAATATGATTATCAATTTATAAAATACATAACATTCATATTATATTAATCGTATTCATATTAATCAACATTCATGCAATAGTAATAAATCATTTGGATTTGCTGATGATCAAAGTAAAAACACAAGAACTAAAAATAATAATATAATAAACAATTACATTTTCGGCAATTATCTTAAAAAAGAACAAAGTTTCATAGCCAAATTATGGCTGAAGAGAAGCCGTCCACATAAAAAGATTCATATCAATTAATTAATAAACTAAACCATTTCCAGCACATTCAATTAAATATATATAAATCAAGCAAATAAAGATAAAATCTCTCTCAGTAATAGTGTATGTGCAATAAATAAAGAAAAAAACTGCAGCGCAATATTTGTTTTTTGTATAACAATCAAATAAATGAAAAAACATGCATTAGGCATCAGAAAAATGCAAACTTTATTTGCCAAGCTAGATAAACTCATAAAATAACAATATACTTAATATGAAAATTCTTTTAAAGGGCCAGAAAATCGCATAAAAATATTAAGACAAGTTTAATAAAAGGCCGAAGAGAAGCCGTCCACATAGAAATATTGATGCATAGCTTGAGAGATAACTTGGATTTAACATTGTGAAATATACGTAAAAGAAAATAATTAAAAAATAAATTAATAAACAAAAGAAAATCCAACTCGAGCAAAAATATTGCTCAGACAGATTAAACCACCCGCAAAAAAAACGCAGTAATTCCAGAAAAAGAGCAGTAAAGCTTAAAAACAAAAATTTAGTTAAGAGCAAGAAGAGTTCTTAACTCGTTGGGCTGCAGAAGGAAACTGAGCAATCAACTGTCTGAAGGTTTACAGTTTGTATTCTGTTAACAGAATTCTGTTAGCATTGCAGAGTTGCAATTGCAGTGATGGAAAAAAAACTAGAGCTGGTAATTAAGATGTGGAACTAAGCTAATGTTAACAGAAAACAGCCATACAGTATATTAATGATAAAAGAATATTTAAAGAAAGATGCTGGGAAAACATTTATTTACATTAATTTTAAAATAAATATTCAGCTTACCTTTAATGTTAAAAACACATTCAGTTCTCAGCTCATGTTGCATGCTGCAAATAAAAAAAAAATGTAAATAAATTGTAGCAGATTGTTGCGGATGCGAATGTAAAATTGAATAAAGGAATAGAGCTTAAATTAGTTAATTAATTATTGCTATTGAGTGCATAATAAAATTTCAACAGATCTATTATCGTGCCTTGATAGGGGCCAATGGCTCTCTAGCTGTAGCTGGCATTGTATCTATGTGCCTTTAAGTACATCTATGTGCGTTCCTGTACATATGTGTCGTAATACAAAATTTCAATGCTGGCCCGCACCAAAAGATAAACAACAAAAAATGGGAAAAAACTGAAAGAAAATAAATAAAAATATAAAGGAAAAAAAATATAAAGCCGGCGCCGTAATTAAAAACTGTTATCAATTTCAATGGCTAATTGTTGTAGCCAGAGCAAGTAACTACAACAGCGCACGTGCATTTGTATCTGTATCTGTAGCGGTATCTATGTGTGTATCTGTGTTGGGAACTGTTTGAAAAAGTTTTACGAGTTCAGCGACTGGTCAACTATATGTATGTATGGCGCTTCATAGATTAGAGAGCTGCCCGGCTATAAACTCAAATGCTAACGATATTTTGTTTTTTTTTTTTTTTACACATAACAGAGACGCATAATGCTCCACGCAAATTGTTCCTACAAGTACAGTGGTTACACTCTAAAATGAACAGCTGTCTAAACTTGAAAATATCAAAATATATCATGAAAAAAGATATCAATATAAGAATATACTACTGCAAATATATTCATGCTTCAGATTCATATTTAAATATCATGGTTTACGACCCACATTAAAAATGGTTTGGAAACAGGTTTCAAACAGCTTTGAAGAGGTTTAAGACGGTTTTTAAACATCTTCAAAACGGGTTTTAAAAATATCTCAATACGGATTTTAAACAGTTTACAAAACGGGCTAAAATATCAATTAAAATTTCTAGTTTTTAGCCAATAAAACATGCCCTACTACGAGATACCCTAAGCCCCGTTCTAGCTGCCTTCTATGCATAATAACACACACACACAGGCACGTTGTACGAGTGCTTCTTCTTCCCCCAGCCCTACATTATGGTGAAAATGGTTTCTTGATTAACTTCGGTGTTTATTGTCCAATCTTTATGAAATATCCAGGACATTAATACGAAAACGAAATGGATGTAAATACCAATCTCGCTTCAATGTTGCCTTTAGTTTTTATTCTATTCTATTAGTTTCTAATATGGGATATATATATTGATATATATGCGGAATGTGCTCTAAGATATTCCACGTCCCAAATTTGATGCCTTTAGCTACGAAATATGGTCCATAAACTGGATATAGATATTGATTTTACCAATTTCGCCAAAGCGAATCGAATCTTCTATGATGTGAAATAAACTTGATCTTTTCGTGCACGTTCAAAATTTCAAGACTCCAGCTTTTCAGTCTCTAAGATCGACGAGACAGACAGACATACCTAGATCGAGTTGGCTGTTGTTACTGATCAAGAATATATTTACTTTATAGGCTCAGAGAAGCCTCCTTCTGCCTGTTACATTTACACAAAGGGATATCATCTTTATACCTATTTTTAATGGGTTCAGGTTATAATAATGAAAGGCATATTTAAATAAATATGCGGAGCGATAAAGTTTTGACTGTTGCTCAATTAGATATATATATATATAAAACTAGCGGATATACCTCGGCTTTGCCCGTGATTTGGTTTGAAACCGATCGGATCACTGTTGTGGGCGAAATTTCCCGAAATTTATGATATCTGAGGGTACCATTTATATATGAATTTTCACGACGAATAGTGTTGCCAGACTAAGATGCCAAATTGATTTAAGGGCCAAACCATTAACAAAGAGCCAAACCTTTAGAAAATCGGTTTAGTTTTGACCGAATTATGGGGGTGGGAAATTTTGACCTATGTCCATAGGGGGTTTCTGAGGGTACCATTTTCATTTGAATTTTGACCAAGAATAATGCTGTCAGGTTTAGATGCTAAATTGATCTAGAGGCCAAACCATGAACAAAGAGCCAAGCCTTATGAAAATCGGTTGAGTTTTGGCCGAGTTATGGGTGTAGGAAATTTTGACCTATTTTGTAGGGTACGATTTTTACATGAATTTTGACCAAGAATAATGTTGCCAGATTTAGATGCCAAATTGATTAAGAGGCCAAAATCGGTTTAGTTTTGACCGAGTTATAGGGGTGGGAAATTTTGACCTATGTCCACATAGGGTTTCTGAGGGTACCATTTTCACATGAATTTGGACCAAGAATAATGTTGCCAGATTAAGATGCTAAATTGATCTAGAGGCCAAACCATGAACAAAGAGCCAAGCCTTATGAAAATCGGTTGAGTTTTGACCGAGTTATAGGGGTGGGAAATTTTGACCTATGTCTATATAGGATATTGTAGGGTACCATTTTCACATGAATTTTGACCAAGAAAATTGTTGCCAGATTTAGATGCCAAATTGATTTAAGGGCCAAACCATTAACAAAGAGCCAAACCTTTTGAAAATCGGTTTAGTTTTGACCGAGTTATGGGAGTAGGAAATTTTGACCTATTTCTATATAGGATATTGAAGGGTACCATTTTTACATGAATTTTGACCAAGAATGCCAAGAATTTTTCCAAATTTAGATGCCGATTTCAAACTTAGATGAAGCAAATCGGATAAAACTTAAAACTTCACCAAAATCTTAGAATCGCACTTTCCTCCGAAGAAAGCTTCGATTTTGCGAAGAATATGAAACACATCTCAAATGTTTTCATATATATCCTCGGAAATGAATTTCAGCGTAGTTTAAGGCCGATCGGATGGTATTTTTTTCCACATATGCGGGTGGAATTTCCCGAAACCCCGTCTTAACGAGCACCTTCATGGAGCACCTTCAGCTTCTTAATTATGCAAGAAGGCAGTTACAACTAGTCAGTAAGTACTATAGCTTAAGGCACGTGTGTGCGTGTGTGTGTGTGTATGTGTGTATGTGTGTATTTTTGTACATACAAGAGATTCAATTAAATTTTTGTTTAGTGTTGCAAACTGTTAAATTGTCTGCAAAATGTGTGGGGAGAGACGAGGCTTGAGAGAGAACTAAAATTATTGTCTCTGCTTCATTCAAAATACATAAGGTGCTACACCTACACAAACACACACACACACACACAAACACACACACACACACACGCTGTAACTGTTGGGCTTAGCCTCCACTTGAAGCTCTATCGGGCAAATTGAGCTGCAGATTTTCCAACGTCCATTTCCGGCCTGCAACGAGCTGCCATTTTGTGGTCCCAACGACGCACACAAATACACGCACGCACGCACTCACGCACGCACACACACACACACGCACACACTCACACTTACAGAGACACATGATTGCGTGCGCCCTGCAAACAAGATGAAAGCCCGGATTGAATCATTTTTCTGTATGTTTTGTTTTTGGTTTTTCCTTCAAAGATTAGACACGACCATCGCTCAATTTCAATCAACTAGCATCGGTTAGAGATTGATTTTGCGTTCATAAACTTGGCCTAATATAATTACGTAATACTTTAGAAAATATTTACAAGTTTTGGACTTTCTAATGCATTTTTGAGTGCGCTCAAAGCCTCCACCAACTTGAGCTGCTAACTTTTTAAATCAATTCATCTGGCAAATTAAGTTGCCTTCAACCAACTGACACTTGCGCTTATTAGGGAGAAAAACTTGCATATACCATATGCATAAATGTAGTTTTTATTTAATTATGAAACACATGCGCACATCTTTGTATATTCGAGCCGCAGAAGCTCAACAATATTACTTTAAAGTCTCTGCTTAAAGTCTTAAGGTCCATGTTAAATGGTCATGTGAGGCGATTTTTTTCTATTTATCAAACATGATTTGGCAACTATTTTTGCAAAAAGACTGACCTATGCGATGTTTCAAGGCGAATGTCTGAGAATGTCCGAGAGAAAAGATTGCATAGTAACACACGGATGGACAGACGGAGATTAGCTATGTGGCCAGATAAAACTTAAAACTTGCCTGTTGATTGCTAATCAAGAATTTTAATTGGGAACGAAGAAGGTTATCATCATTATTAATGGGATCGAAGCGGCAATCCCAGAGGCTATTAAGTACTAGTTATATCTGCGCAATTCGTGTTTATTTCGAATCATTCAAAACTCGCCGCGATTCTAAATCGATAAGTATTGCTATTCAGTTGAGGCCTTTGGAGCATATCTCAGAACTTATATGAGCTGAAAACCGCAAATCAGGTGTTTTGGCTCTCATCCACTCTAGGAATAGTTTTGAGGGTATTGACTTGGGCTTCAGCTTAACTATTGAACGACAAGCCCCTCAATTAAACTTCTTGGCAATTGCGAAAACCTTCGCAAGGTGTCACACTGTGAGACAAAAGGACATGACAATATCGATTTGGCTGTTGAAGCTAGTCAAGAATGTTTGCATTCCTTATGAGGTCGGTTATGTGTTATGAAATTCCAATATTAAAATTATTATTGGCCATTTTACACGTTGTTATTAAATGTAAATGCGTGTGGTTTTGCGTGCGGTCACATATTACATTAAATGGCAGAAAATGCGAAATTATCGCACGAGAATTTAATAAGAACCCACTGAAACATTAATCAGTATATTATATGAATTAAATACAGCCAATTAATGTCGTCCCATAACAACGTCAGTAACTATCTTTAGCGATTGCAGTAAATTATTTGTTGCACATCAGTTTCTATCGATGTATTTGCGAATTGTTTCAGCAAAATTCGTGTCCAAAGCTTACAGTCGATTCCTCAGTTCCTTCTGGGATCTAATCGAATTAAGATCTCCTTTCAATTTTTGGATATTCGGAATATCCTTAGACAAATAATTACTTTTGGTACTTTTTTGTTTTGGTGATTTTTTTTAAGTTGTTGATTTTAATGATTATTCGTTAAAGTTAAATCGAATATTACTAGTCCTACACGCATTTATAAAAGGGGACGTTTT